GGTCACGCCCCCGACCGCGATTTGATTCGAGGACTTCGGGCCACAGGCGCCAGTCGTCACAGGTACCTGTAGGGCAGCATTTCTAGTATCCAGTCAGCTTGTGTCCACCGTGTGTGTGTGTTGTCTTGCTTCTTCCACATGACCAGGTTGAGAGGATGCGGATGGCGGACCTTTTCATTGTTGTACCAAGCTCTGGTGCAATACCCATCTTTCCAGTCGAACAAGGTAGTTTCGCAAACTGTGATGGTATAGGCGATGAGGGCGATGATGACTCCACACACAAAGCTGAGGAGCCAGCCCTGGGACGCGTCGAAGAAGGCATGAACGCGGCCACGAAAGTCTTTACGGCTGCGTAATGCCTTGAGACGGTGAGCATCTGCAATATTGTCGTGCACCCAATCCGTCGATGTAAATTGATCGTACCATACTCGCTCGTCGGAGAACAGGGAGCCTTTTGACTCCAGCATGGGATCCGGTCGGTCGTGAATCGCGTTGATCAAGCGAGCGCTCCACGAGGATGGGTGTGAGCTGAGGTGGCGGGAGCTCCTAATGCTTCCTAGAAAGAGACAGAATTCTGAGGTTAGTAGGGGGTGGAAGCTGCATGAGGTGCCCCGGGGCATAGATGTCCGTACCATGTCCACTGTTTCTCCTCGAGAGCCCAGGAGTCTTGAGGTTTGATGTATCATGGCTGTTGTGTATGCGAATGTGGGATCGCGACCGTTGCAACAAGGGTGATCGTTCGTCTGGGTGCTCGTTGCTGCTGCTAAGATCGAGACGGGACGGGCGTCGGCTGTGTGCTGGCGACACGGGTGCAGAGAGGTGCTTCTGCCTGTCTGCCATGATGGGTGTTACTTGTTCGGCCAGTTGGCGGTGGCAATCCGCAGTGGGCGTGGTGCTTCGCAGATAGGGATGGAGGTCAACGGCTGACTGTTATAGTCAGGGCTGTTTGCTGCCGTACACGACGGATCTTAAACCTGACACTGCTGGCTGAGGGTCAGTCGTGCTTATTTCTAGGGTATGTGGGAGGTGTACGCACCGGACCACAGGAATTTCGTCACCGATGGCAGGTGGTGTAGGTGGGGAGTAATGTTGAAGGTGGTTCGAATGGGGCTTGTGACCGAGGTGTCTCAGAGCGTGTCGTCAAAATGCGCAGCATGCTCTGGGTGGACAAGCCTGCTGGCTGATAGGAAGAGGTATGCAACCTGACAGACCAGGAGCAAGGGCACACAAGGCGTTTGAGGTCGGAGAGGCTCCCTTGGTTCACCGACCCAACGGTAGAGATGTTTCGGAGTAGCTTGGAGCGTGAGCGGGGGGGTATGAAGGTAGGCCGTAGGAGAAAGACGGATGGATAGCGAAAATGAGGAATAGGCTGTTGACGATCTCGTGCGCACCGCTTTGGCGAGCTTCGGGGTCACACGTCCTGCCCAAGGCTCGGCACGGACATGGAGCACGCTCGGCTCGAGGGTACCTTATTTGGAGGTCAAGGGAAGGGCAGCAGGGAAATTGTATCATCGCCCCGCGTGGCGCCTGTGCCGCCAAGCCACCCATCCGCAGACCCATCAACCTCCCTAGCGTTATCGAAATAAGGCAGGTAGGTAACCCTCACGTGCACCGATGCGCCTGACTAGGTACCTAAGATGCCTTGGTCTTGGTTGCCTTGCATTCTTCGTATCTGTGAAAGCCATCAAATTAGACGACGCACTTGCACCCTTCTCTGATACGGAATTCGTATAGCGGAAAAAAGCCGGGACTCATTCTCAGCTTGGCGAGCCTTCAAGATCGCATCTGCACCGCCGGCCTCAGGCCGAAGCTTGGAGCTTTCGCACGGGCGATTAAACGTCACTGTAGCGTCAAAAGCGTCCTGTGGGGAACTACCCCCCACGTTCCCCGTCCACTCCGGCGATCGACCTGGCCCGCCCACAGCTGTTTGACGGGCCGTTACAGGGCACTTGTGCACTAAAACTTATGAGAGATGAACCCTAGCGAAACTCTCCGAGCCGTCAGTGCTGAGACGCGTTGACCGTGATTTGCCAGCGACTTCATCTCATCCGGCACCTGGACCAGCCAAGTTCTTAATCACGCTGTTGCCGGTTGTCGGTATCCCATTGCCGGGATCTACACATGTTGGGACGAATGCCACCTGGCATGCTGGTGTTTCAATGACCGAGTCCGATGGGAAGGGCCTGACGGTGCCCAAATTCTCCTCCTTCAAACCACCAGCGCCGGTGTTGGACATCACCACACAGTCGAACGAGAGCACGTCTGACAAGACATCGAAGCGCCACAAGGACAGGACATCTCATCGACACAGTCGACATGATCGACTTGAGGATCGCGATCGCTCGTCCCGGCACCGCCACGACCATCGCTCTGAAAACTCATCCGCGCAGCCTTCAGAATCCCGCCGAGATAGATATGAGCGTAGTCTAGAACATCGTTCGGATAAGCATCAATCGGGTCGTGCCTCTGAGAGACGGCATCGTCATCGCTCAAGGTCGCCAGCTCAAGACAAGCTTGCACTGGTGAGAGCACAGCCAGTGCCGCAACCCGACGCCGCCTCGGCAGGAGATGCCCAGTTCATTATAGATCAGCGGGGAGACCCTCTGATCTCGAGGTATCGCAGAAATGACCGTTCAAAAATTCCCCAGTACCGTCGCAATGGGCGTGGGCGGCTGCTGGGCTCCGATGGCTACCTGTCGATTCACACCGATGCCATGGACGAAGAATTCAGCATTCGACGGCCGGGTCAAGGAGCCTCGGCTTTGAAAGATAGGCACCTTTTCGCTAAGGTTCGTTACACGAAGCCAAGGCGAATTCGGGTACGGAAAGACGGCACGGCCTCGTCAGGCGAAGAGGAATTCGTCCCACTCAGCCAAGCGAAGAACCGACGCCACGATCATGACGCATCGGCATCAGAGGACGAAGCCATGGTTTACAGGTCTATCGAAGGCAAAGCCAAAGCACATCAGTATTCAGACAGTGAGCTGGAATACGACTCGTCTGACGCCGGCGAATCGAGGTTTGACGACGATGACCCAGCTAGAAGGAAGTCCATCGAGCTCTCACGTCGCGTCAAAGAACATCCAAACGACATTGAAGCATGGTTGGCCCTCATTTCCCACCAGGATGTGCTCTTGCATAGATTCCAAGACTCTGGCGGTGAAGCTACTGAGGCCGAGGTGCGCAGCTTTGCCGAGATTAAGCTTTCCATGTACGAGAGCGCTCTTCAAGCCCAATCTGCAGACCATGAAGAGCAACTCTTACTCGGCATGATGCTGGAAGGAGCCAAAACTTGGCCAGCCTCTAAGCTCCATCGGCGACTACTAGACGTTGTGCAGCGACACCCGACCAGCTTCGTGCTTTGGAAAGAGAGAATCGACTCCATGTTGACGAACATGACGGCATTTCAATTCCATGAGCTGAAGGATGCCTATCAAGAACGTCTGCTATCACTCCCTGGCTTACAGAAGTATCCTGTAAGTCCATTTCCAGGAGCAAGTCAGGGTACAGACGTTCAAGCGCTTCAGGAGCAAGTCATTTATGTTTTTCTGCGCATGACAAGGTTCATATATGATACAGGGTACCGCGAACTCGCTGTGGCTGCGTGGCAGGCCGTCTTGGAGTTGAATCTCAATCGACCCTCTACACTCTCTGGCGCGTCATCGACAGAGATTATGGATCAATTCAAGGACTTTTGGGAAAGCGAGGTCACCCGAATTGGCGAGGACAGCGCTCAGGGATGGGCTCATTATGTGCAACAAGACGGACTACTAGATGCCCCTGACCCCGTGACACACCCCATTCACAGAAGCAAGTCGCGCAACGTGTACCAGGCATGGGGAGCCACCGAGCACGTACAAGGCCAGCAAGCCAGGCTGCCTGCCCGATCCATGGATGAAGGTGTCGAGGACGATCCATATCGCGTCGTCATCTTCTCGGACCTGGAAAACCTCATCTTTTGCGTGCCTGGAGCATTGATAAAGACTCTGAGAAAGCAATTGGTGGATGCTTTCCTCTTGTTCTGTCATCTGCCTCCTGCCGACGGATCAAATGGGTGGACAAAGGCAGCAATGAATGATCCTCACGTGGTCGGCAGCCTCTACGACTTGAGAACCGAGCTGCTGCGAAAGCCTGCTCAGCATAACCCCGACGAGGACGATGCAAAACGCCTTCCGATCTTTGATTATGACGCGCATCAGCTGAGGGTATCCTTCGACTGTGTCTTCGCAAGTCAAAGTTGGTTTAAGTACTTTGCAGGTTGGCCAACCCGCAACAAAAACCTAGGGGGCCCTGTGCCGCTTTCTTGGACTGCAAATGCGGTGCGGCAGGTGGTCAATACCGCAGTTGCTGAGTCGTTGGCGCAATACTCTTTGGCCCTGGACTGGATTAACGACCCAGACAATGTCAAGAAACGAGCCCGGCCGCTACTGAAACAATTCCCACGCAACCTTCGATTATACCTGGCATATGCTCTTGCAGAGGAGAGGAATGGGAACCTGGATGTCGCAAGACAAGTCCTTGTCTCCTCTGCTGTTCTAGCTAAGGTAAGTTACGTCGCTCGAAGTACCGGTCCAAAATGGTTATGCTTACTCTCTGCAGGCACCTTCTACCGACTCTGAAAGCCAACTGATTTTCTGGACAACCTGGAGCTGGATGGAGTTGGAGGCTGGCCATCAAACAAGTGCCATACTTTGTCTGTGTGCATTGGCAGATGATTCGGCCATGCCAGACCCTGAGGCGATGGTAACGCCCCATCAGTTACTCATCACGCAACAAACCCTACGCGGCAACCTGAGCTACAACACACCAGCTTCTGAAGCCGAATCCACAGCTCTGAACGCAGGTGCACTGATCCTATGCGAGTATCTGACAGTTGGAGGGGGGTCTGAATCAGCGTCTCTGACGCAGGGCAACATTTCGACAGCAATGGATAGAGTATGGTCGGTGAGCGAGGGCCTCAGTAAGTGTGGCTTTGCAGGCCAAGCAGCACACGAGGTTTTACTGCAGTCAGCGGCAAGGTTGCTCTATTTCCATGCTAGGCAAGGGTATGTGCGAGCAGTTCACTTGGGGACCAACATCTTTGCGGTAAATTACTGACTGTGTTGCCTAGTCCGTTTCGAAGCGCCTATCTGCGAGAGCAGCTTGCCAAATGCCTAGGTATCTTCCCTAGGAACACAATGTTCCCTGAGCCTTTTTGCGTGGGCATCTTCAAGCTTTGGCATTGACGACCCCGTCGGGGACATGCTTCGCAGCACTGCCCTCGCAAATCAGAACGATTGTGTCAGCAGCCGGATCTTTGCCATCAAATATGAGCTGCAAAGAGGCAACTCGCACTCGACCCGTGCCGCCTTTGAACAGGCGCTTAAAAGCCCAGCGTGTCGAGCCAACAGCGAGTTATGGCGGAGCTATGTTCAGTTTAGCCACTCGCGGAAGGAACTCCGAGCCAAGGCAAAAGAAAACTTCTTCCGTGGCCTTGGGCAGTGCCCGTGGTCCAAAGACCTGGCCATGGAGGCGTTCACTACGCTGGCCAACGTGATGGATGAGTTTGAGCTGGGATCAGTCTTCAACACGATGCAGTCCAAGGGCCTAAGACTTCATGTGGAGCTGGATGAGTTTCTGGCCGCGCAGGGCAGGGAAACAGGAAGGCGGTAAGAGAGAGAGCCTCGGGTTGAAACTAAATCATTATGAGCAAACATGGTGCAACTGCTCAGGATGACTCGATGCGGCGACGGGCGCAGGGCTGAATTCTGCCCTGAACCGTTGTCAAGTGAAATAATGCCGTGAGTGAACACTGCGTGCAAATCCACAGTAGCACGAGATGGCCCAGACGAGTCACCAGTGGCAATTGAATGTGCATGTTGAGTCATCGGCGGCCCAGGTCAGCCAGACAAGGCGGCAGCGGCGGGGTACGAGGCCTCAACTCGAGTTGTCAGCAGCAGCAGTGCAGAGGGGGAGGAGGCGCCTTGGTGCTACAGGGATTGCCTCCCGCAACCAGTGGCAGCCCCACTCGGTCGCCCCCCTCAATTGGGCCCTCTGGCCCTCTGGCCCTTAACTTGCGAGCTCTGCCCGCAGAAAAAACCCATCTCTTTGCACCTCAAACTCGTGATACCTCACCAACGACGACCCGCTGCTGCTCTCTTCTTGTGCCGAGCACAGCTTTTTCGAGACCCTCTACCCATCATTCCCGATTCCCAAGTTTTTCCCCGACCAAACGCAGCAAACATGGCGGTGCGAGCCCAGTTTGAGAACTCCAACGAGTATGCCGAGACGACCCCTCGACCCCGCCGACCCCGCCATGCGAGAGCGAGAGAGATGCATCTCGCCTCACCCAGAATGTTGCGCTGACCTCACCGTGTGCGCAGAGTTGGTGTCTTCGCGACGCTCACAAATTCCTACGCCCTCACGGCCATCGGCGCCAGCGAGAACTTTTACAGCGTTTTCGAGGCGGAACTGCAAGACGTCATTCCCATCTGTCGCACAACCATTGCCGGCTCGAGGATCATCGGGCGCATGACCGCGGGGTACGTGTGCACCCCCCCCTCCCTCTCTCTCTCCCGCTCACATGCGGTCCCTTGCCCTCTGTCCATGACCTCTCGTTGCTGACACGTTTTCTTCGCCCCTGCCTTTCAGAAACCGCAAGGGCCTCCTCGTGCCTACCAACACGACCGACCAAGAACTGCAGCACCTGCGCAACAGCCTCCCGGACGCGATCCGGATACAGCGGATAGAAGAGCGCCTGTCAGCCCTCGGCAACGTCATCGTGACCAACGACCACATCGCCCTCGTGCACCCAGACATTGAGCGCGAGACGGAGGAGATCATCGCCGACGTGCTCGGCGTCGAGGTCTTCCGACAGACCATCGCCGACAATGTGCTCGTCGGCTCGTACATGTCGCTCTCGAACCAGGGCGGCCTCGTGCACCCCCAAGACGTCGATACAGGACCAGGACGAGCTCAGCAGCCTGCTCCAGGTGCCACTCGTCGCGGGCAGTGTGAACCGCGGAAGCAACGTCGTCGGCGCCGGCATGGTGGTCAACGACTGGATGGCGGTGACGGGTCTCGACACGACGGCGACGGAGCTCAGCGTCATTGAGAGCGTGTTCAGGCTGGGCGAGGGTCTGGGACCGAGCAACATCAACACGGGCATGAAGGATACCATGGTCGAGTCGTTCTACTGATCGCGGGGATGACGGGCGGGAGGGAGTTCACGTTGTTGCTGTCGCCGCTGGTTCACGGTGTTGGGTGGCCTCGTGGATGAACAGGTCATGATGAAGATGGAGGAAGTCATTCATCTTCCGTTATACGGAAGGTTCGAGGTGCGCATAGCGGGGTGCGCACAGGTATCGAGGCCGGCCCAATGAGAGAGCATCGTCAAGCTATTTGTCGGGCGCGTTCTTGTGTGTACATGACGGTTTGCAATGTCTACGCCTAAACGTGAGGAGTCAGGATGCAACAGCTTAGAGGAAATGATAAGACATGGCCACTGCGAGATCATGATCTTACTAGGTAAGGTAAGGTAGGCACGATGAGTTCTGGTGTAGGTAAAACTGCTGAGATAATTGGCCACCTCGACCATGGCACTAGCAGCAGACAAAGACGCCCATGTTGAACCAGCAGAAAGATTCACATCACGTGACCTAAATGAACTATGGCTGTGTGATGAAGCACTGACAACAGGCCGAGTAGGTGATTACGTTTTCAGGGCCTTGCACATCACATAACACACGTACACTCAACTTGGCAAAGCCATATTGTGACAAGACGAAATAGCCCCCCCCCCTCTGCGGCGCAAATCGACGCTGGAGGGTGGTGGTGCGTAGGACTTGGACTTGGGAGAATGACGAAGACGTTGCACAGCATGTTGGCTTCATCTGGAACATCCAGTAGGAGGACGGTTTCATCGTGACACCCGTTACGTAGAGCCCACCATCCATGGCTGCTCATGGCATTCCCCCATGTCTTGCCACACAGCCAGCTCTTTCTCCAACGCTGTCTGTGAACGGCGTGAACGGCGAGATCTCAGGGCCCATCTGGGAGCTCGGATCATGCTAGATCCCTGCTCAGAAGCGAGGTAAACATTCCAACGGTTCGGCATTGGTGCACAGCTGCCGTCTGCCCATCTGACGTCTGCGTGCGCGTGCACGTGCATCCCCAGCCACCAGAGACGTTCCCAGGCACACTCACTCCCAGGTAACCTTACTGAGGATGAGAGGATGAATACCCAGCAGGTGGTGGATGGAAAACAAAATGGCCCACCAAATGAGGAGCACCCCCCGTTTGGAAGTAGATCAGCGTCGACCGATGCCTCGCCGTCACATAGTAAGCCTACAGGTAAGGTGGCAGGCTTGGCAGGGTGTAGGTAGGTACATGCACCTCTGTAGGGCCTTTTGGTGGACCAATTCTTCTGACGCATGCTTGCCAGGTACCACTGGCCTGTCAAGGTTCAGCCCAGCAGACCACTGAGCGCTGAACTCTCGCTGGTCTCCCCACCGACAAGTGACAACACACAATGTGGTTCCAGGCCCGCCCTGGCGTCGCATCCACGAATCCCATCCACTGCCAGCCACAGCCGATGAACCAAGACCTCCTCCGCAGACAGCAGCAGCAAGACGCCCAGGAGGCCCTGCACATCGCCCAACCATGTTATTTCGTCCCCTTCGTCATTGGGCCGGCATGGATCCTGCATGAACCTGCCCTGACTCCTGGTCTTTATTCATCTCGGCCATCCGCAACTTCTTTCCTTCCTGGTGTGTCTTGACATTGCCACGAGCCATCCGTCCACCGTGCTGCATTCCAGGCATCCCTTCACCGTCAATAGTTTAGCCCTTCAATCCGTCTTCCTCCCACCCCACCTTTCCCGCGTCTGCTCTTTGTTCTGCATTATCCGACAGTCAGGTCAAGGGAAAGACAGCCTGGATCGGTCTCCCGCGACGCCGACCCGAGCTACTCCCACCTTCGGTCCGCCGCGTCCTTTGTTCGCCTTCCCAGCTGCTGGGTTAACATTCACCGGCCGATACTGGTCTCCTGAAAAGTTCGGCCTCGCCTTGCCGCCAACCGAGACCCGCAAGGTCCAGGACGGTCTTCGCCTCACAGCTTTTGGATCCCCGAGGCGCAAACTAGAGGGAAAAGCCTGCAACTTTACCTCCATCCCGGCGCTATACCGTCCAGCCGTCGGTCACATTCCTGCCTTGTCCGTAGGTGGACTTGCCGCATCGGTACAGTAGCACCAGCGCGCTCGCGCTCCTCAACATACCAGAGCCAGGCTGCGAACCGCGAAAATCGCTAGCGTTGGAGCACCCAGAGGACCTCCCACTACACGCGAAACATTAGCACGTCATGCTAAGCCCATCCGTTTCCGTCCCCGCGGCTGATGGCCCGAGGGGGTCTGGAAGACCCCTGGACTCTCCTCCAAATGGAATGCGTGCAAGCCACCATCTCTACCAAACCGCGGATGCGAACGCCGCGCCGACCGGTCGTCCCCTGGCCCAAGATCGGCAAGGGGCCCATCCCACCGTCCCATCAACCGCGATCCCCGCGCCCGCTACCCTGAACAGCAGCAGACAGCCTACCTCGCGACCTCTGTCTCTGGGTCCCCCTCATGCCACCCCTTCCTCTCTCCAGCAACACTTTCGCCATCAACGCCATCAGTCCAGTACAGAACTTCGTCCTGCTGCCGTCTACCCTTCAGCACCTGGCATCTCCTCCCCGACGAACGAGAGGACGCCGAGACCAAGATCAATCGACATGCCCTTCACCGGAGACACCAGGGCCGGCAGGTCCCCCGAGTCAGGCGCTCGCTCTCTCCTGAGCTCCTGGCTACCAGGGCCCGCTTCTCCCAGCGAGATGGACAATCCATCCTCAACACCTTCCAAGTCACTCAGAAACAACATGACGCCGCTAAACACCAACGCTTCACCAAACACCTCCCGCTTCGCCTTCATCTCCTCGTCACTCTCCGCCCTGACCAAGTCTGCCACCTCGCCAACGCGGAAAGCGAAGCATGACGACGAGCTCCTGAACATGAACATTCACGACGCCCTTTTCCCTCCTTCCGCCTCGCCTGCTGGGTCTCGCGACGCCTTTTCACCCGCTTCCTTTAAGAACCTCGAGATGACGGCCGTTGCGCTCCTGACCAAGTTCCAACATGCATACGAATCGCAGAGCGCCGCGTTGCGGGAAATGGAAGTCGAGCGTGACACCCAAGCCGAGGAGGTCGAGGAGGCGGACACGCGAACCAAGCACCTCAAGCTTCAGCTCGAGAACATGGCGCTCCAGGCCGCCGAGCGCGAGAAGGAAATGCAGGCACTCATGGGCCGCCCTCGAGCGCGAGAAGGCCGCGAACCGCAGCGGCCTAG